CGGGGAGGGGGCTGCCGGACTGGCGGCCTGCCCGCCCCGGGCCTCGCAGGGAGGGCGCGTGGTCGCGCCGCCGTCCGCGTATCCCCACGTCGGGTTGGCCCCGCGGCGCACAGCTTGGGGGGTTGGGCCGCCCGAGGCCCCTTCTCGGCCTGGCCGCCGCCCACAGTGACTTCCCTGCCACACGCCGCCTGCTGCCCTGGGAGCAGCCCAGCCCGCGCTGGGCGCCTTCGTCTCCAGGCAGGCCTCCGGAGCAGCACCGTGCCCGCGGAGTGTCTGCCTCCCACACTGCCCTCCCCCTCCCTAGTCAGCCGGCTGATGAGGGGACCTGTGCGCACCTGAGCGCCTCTCACCTCCTCCACCTGTTTTCATATCCTTCCTGCACCTCACCAAGAACGAGTCACCTTGACACTGGAGAGACAGGCCCCCAGAGGGAGGCCATCAGGGCTTCCTTTCCGCAGCTGCGGACCCCCGCGTGGGCCTTGCTTTCTGCGGGTGGCGGCGCACACGGAGGCCTGGCTACAGTCTTGTGCATCTGAGGTCTGCCAGCCTACTGCACTTCTCTGTTCGTTAAAGCCTGAGGCCAGGCAGAGACTTGTGATAGTGATGGCTTGGTTTGGACTGGGTCTTCCGGGCAGGTGGTCAGTCATACAGGCCTTAGTGTGCTTGGTACTTCTAGAACTTCTTCAAGGGCTAAACTCCTCTTGAGATTTGTACTTACCTGAAGTGTTTCTGGGATTTGTAGTCTTTAATGGCTTTTGAGACAGAAGCAGAGGGCTGCTGTGGTCCTGCATCCTGCTTGGACTTCAGGAAGTCATCCTGTCCTGTAGTCTGAGGAGCATTTGGCTGACCTCAGGACTGGCCTTGAGAGCCTCTGCTTGGGTACCAGCTGGGGGCCAGGGATGGCTTATAACCTACTGTCTTCCTTCTGCTTGGTAGCATTTCTGGGGACCACCAGCTGTCTGAGGCTCAGGGACAGAGACGGCTGCTCCAGCTAAAGGTCAGTTCTGATGTACATGGCCTGTTGGCACTGTCTAGGGCATGAGCCGTGGCTCCTCCACCCCCCAAGAGTTTGGCTAGGCCTGTGGCACTCCCACCTCCTCCAAGCCACGAGGCAGGAGTGTTCTTCTGTGACTAGGAACAGGTTCCAAGTGGGGAGGGGACTGGCTCAGCATCCGGAGCCAAAACAGGAATAGAACTGGGAGCTGAGCCTGGAGCAGTCTTGGGCTTTCGGTTCTCTGCATCAACACAGCCAGCATGCCTATGATTTCTGTGCTGGGCAAAATGTTTGTGTGGCAGCGTGAAGGGCCTGGAGGACGATGGACTTGTCAGACAAGTCGCAGAGGTGAGACCAGAGACCCTGGATGTGATCTGGGAGGTGACGGGAAGCGCGGAGCACAGTGCTCGGATGGCGAGAGGAAATTTACTCTGGCTTAGATGTTGGGAACCAGGCTGAAAGGAGAACCATACTGGTGCCAGAGAGGGCATCCGGAGAAGGCTTTAGGACAGGGGGAAATTGGAAAGAAAAAAAAAAAAAAGCAGGCGTTTGTTAGAAAAAAAAATAAAAGAACTGCAGAGTAGCCAACACTGGGGGGAGAAAGAACCAAGGCAGCGGGCGGAGAGAAGGCAGGCAGCTGCCATGCAGGTTGTGGCTGCGATTCAGGGAGAATGTAGTGTGTTTTCTGAAAGGTTTTGGGCAGGCTGAGAATCTGGGAGAAGATTTTGACTTTTACCTGCTTGGGTTTCTCTCTATAGTTTTGATGGCAAAATATTTATAGGAAAAAAATATTTGCAGAGAAGGAAGGTGGCCAGTGGGCTGCCACAAAAAACAGCTGCAGGGTCAAACAGGATGGAGAGGACCCCAGGTGGTCACTGACATTCTGGGAGGTGGGGGAGGGGATGGTAAGAAATGGTGAAGCTGGGCAGCACTGGATGGAAATGAGGATCTTGGCACAAGTGGAGCCCCAGCTGAACAGCCTTTTGCCCACCCCACAGTGGCCTCGGACCCCGCGTGGGCTGTGGAGTGGATTGAACTTCCGCGTGGCCTCTCTCTATCCTCTTTGGGATCTGCTCGGACCCTCCGAGGCTGGAGCCGGTCCTCCCGACCTTCCTCCGTGGACAGCCAGGACTTGCCAGAGGTGCCGGGTCTGGTGTTGGGGGTGGTGGTGGTGCCGCAACCACATACAGGAGCTCTGTGTCCTCCACCCCCGCCTCACCAGCCTGCCTCGGGCTCCCTTTTCCTGCGCGCGGAGGCGCTATCCGGCCGGCGGGCCGCAAGGCCGCCCCCGCACCGGTCTGCTCTGCTCGGCACAGTGCCAGCGGGCGGGCTCGCTCGCGCTTTCGGCGCTGACGTCAACGCATCCCGGGCCGTATCCCGGGAGACCCTGTTGCGTGGTGATGGGTTGCCAGGGAGACATACACCTTTCTCTGGGCCTGGGCCGCAGCTGCGCGGAGAGTCTGCACGGATGGCGGCCGTGGTTGGGGGGAGGAGGAGCAGGGAGGGACAGCGAGACAGGAAACACCCCACAGGTGCTCCTCCCGCCAGGCCTAGCCAGAGGGCTCTGACGGCCAGGTACTAACAGGGAATGACAGGGTGGGTCTGAGGTCAGGAGCTGGCAGAGGCTGCTCTAGTGCTGGATGGGAATGCAACAGAGGGAGCTAAGCAAAACTGGGGAGAAGGGTGTGCCTCCACTCATGGAGGGAAACATCTGCAGGGGGCTCTGTCTAGGAGCCAGGTACAGGATGGAGTTAGGAACACCGGCATGTCAGACTTAATGTCCTGGCATCCAGGGTACCCTCAGGAGCTATAAAAGGGGGTGGGGGTGGGGGGACTGTGGTGAAGGCATTATCAGGAAGTAGCACTGGAGACTGTTAGGGGGCGTTTTGTCAGGTAAGGGTAGCCTTGGCCAAGGGAATGCTGGGCTGTATTTCTGGGTAGAAGGGGAAGGTGAGGAATGGGTAGTATTGGTGGCCAAGGGCAAGGTCTGCAGGAGACAGAGGCCTCCCAGAGTTGGGTTCTTGAGGGCCTGAGTGTGAAGCCTGCATTGATGTCATTGGATGGGCAAGATTTTAGTAGAAACAGGCTGTGATCCACTGCACTCCAGGAAAATTGTTTACCTATAAACCGTGTCTCTGATTTGGCCCATGCATTTTGAGAGATTACTCTGTGTTAGGCACCATGCTAAAACACGGGTGCAGCAGTGATCACAACTGAAACCTTAAATGCCAGCGTCCAGCAGGAAGCAGGAAACACGTGGGCTGTAATCACATACTGCGAATAAGGGCCACAGTCTGGTACGTTGATGTGGGATAGTGATTTGGTGGAGATGACAGAGGGAGAACAGATCACTGGCAGGATGTCCCCAGGGACTTCTGAGGGGTTGATGTTCAGCCCAGCCTGGAAGGATAAGAGAGCCAGCCAGCCATGGGGAGAGGGAGAGAGAATAAATCCACACATGTTTGGGGCTAAGAAAACAGCAGAAAGTGGGTGTTGTTTCACCCGCCTATAATTCCAATACTTGGGAGTTTGAGGCTAGCCTGGGCTACATAATGAGTTCCGGGGCAGCCTGAACTTCATAGTGAGACCCTGTCACCAATAAATAAGCAAATAAAATAAAATTTAAAAATAGCATATAGCAGGATTAGAAGAAGTTGAAGAAAACATGATTTGTGCCAACCTGGGCAGGGGGCATTGAGGGCTCCAGGAGGAGCAGTGGCAGTGGGAGCACTAAAGGCGGCATGTCAGAGGTGTCACTAGGACTTAACATGTTGATATTGGCAGGAGAGGCTTAGGAATAGCTGATGGCAGTGTTGAGGTTTGGAGCCAGGCTGAATTTGAGGCTAGGAACATCCAGAATGTGGCTGTCAAGATGGGAGGCGCCCAGAGGGGAGAGGACATTTAGGAGCCCCTAATGCCGCACCTTCCTCCCTGCTTTCTCTTCCCTCTCCTTAGAGCCCCAGTCCTGACTTCCTGGTGCACCCTCTTTCCCTCTGGGGACTGGGAAGGTGAGGGTTGGTTATCCCTCTCTTCTCTTGGGCCTGCCAATTTGCCACTACTTCCTGCAATAGTACATTGCTGGGATAGCTTCTTGTCCTCCTGTGCTGGCCAGCAGCTCCTAGGGTGAACATCCCTCCCAGGCCTTCTCCCTAGCTTCCCAGTCCCCTGAGACCTGGGGGGAGGGCACTGTGGACATGTGGGAGGGGTGGTCACTGCTGTCAGAGGGCACTCACCTCCTGATCCTGTCACTCAAGGTGAATGTTGGAGACACAGTCGCAATGCTGCCCAAGTCCCGGAGAGCCCTAACCATCCAGGAGATTGCCGCGCTGGCCAGATCTTCCCTGCACGGTATGTGCCTGCTCTCGGGCCTTGCCACTTTGTTCCTTCTCCTCCTGCTTGCACTTGCCTTTTGGGACTGTTTCCTGTGGGTGCTTTCTGCAATCACCTTTTCCAAATGTTGGGATCGCCTTCCTCTCCACTCAGAGGCACACATGGATGCTAACTGTGGCCCACGCATCCATTCCCTTATCAGGCCTTTACCCCATTTCTAGGTATTTCCCAGGTGGTAAAGGACCACGTGACCAAGCCCACGGCCATGGCCCAAGGCCGGGTGGCTCACCTCATTGAGTGGAAGGGCTGGAGCAAGCCCAGTGATTCACCTGCTGCGCTCGAATCGGCTTTTTCGTCTTATTCGGACCTCAGTGAGGGTGAACAGGAGGCTCGCTTTGCAGCAGGTGGGTGGCACAGAGGAGAGAGGGCAGCCACACGCTTGTCACGGGGCTGCTGTCTCTGATCTCACTGTCTTTCCTTACTGTTTTGCAGGCTGAGCCCTTGGCTTAGCTCGGCTCATGAATTCTGTGTACCCCAACAGGAGTGGCTGAGCAGTTTGCCATTGCAGAAGCCAAGCTCCGAGCGTGGTCATCAGTGGATGGCGATGATTCCACAGATGAGTCCTATGATGAGGACTTCCCTGGGGGAACTGAAGCAGGTGAGGGGCTTGCGCCCGAGCTGTAGTGGTATGGGTCTGCCTAGGAGGTCTGAGGCCCTGAGCCGTACCCCAGCATGCCAAGGCCCTTACAGAGGGAGGGTACAGGCAGACGTGGACGTGCAGTGGGAGCAGGCAGCCACACACTGTTGGGAAGTTAGCTGTTGGAAACGAAGTGTGTAGTTCCTTTCCTGCAGGTGCTGAGCATCCAGCCTTGCACGTAAGTGGGCCTTGCGGTCCTCAAAGCAGGTGGGGGGCTCCATGCATCCTCCTGCGTAGCTGTATCTCTGGGAAGGGCTGCAGCACCCTTGCCTTTCCTCCTGATGGCTGTGGCAGGACAGATGAGCCACAGTGTGGTGGCACGACCCCTCACAAGGCACCAGCCCCAAACAAACAGGAAGACGTGCTGGGCCTGGGCTCCCCCTGGGCCACCGGCTGCAGCTCAGCATCCATGTGTTCCAGCCTGTGGGCCCTTCTAGGGGCAGAGTTTGCTGAAGGAACCCTGTGGGGTTGTGCAGCTGTGCTCATCTCTCTTTCATTTTCCTTTGCCCGGCCTGCTCAGCTGGTTTTCTCTGAAGGTTTCTGTGAGGCTTGGGTTCCAGCCTCACAGGACCCCTGCCCCCACATCCTTGCCTTGGAGGATCACCTCTGCTAGCTCCCCGTAAGTCCTAGGCACTAGAGACTGCTGCTGTGCTACAGAGGGCACTGATTTGGATGCCCAAGACCAAGTTGGAACCCCAGTCACAGCGTTTTTGTTTGCTTGAATTCCACGATGACAACATTTAGGCAAGGTTGCTGCTAGCCCCTGTGGAACCTTGGAGCAATTACGGAAAGCCCTCCCCTTTCTCTGGAGGGTTTTGCCTGGGCTGAGAGTGGGCTGAATTGCAGCCCTCTCTCTCACTGCTTTGTGCGGGAGCAACCCACAGAGCCAAATGCAGGGGACTTGCATTGATTACCTGCTTCCTTTGAGCCACGCTTTTTTTTTTTTTTAATTAATTAATTAATTAATTTATTTATTTATTTATTTTGTGTGTGTGTGGCCAGCTCAGCCCACCAGGGGGCGGGGCTGGCTGGCATGTGGTACTGGGGGATTGAACTGCGGTCCCTGTGCTTTGCTTAGCTTAGCTTGTTCTAAGTAGGTGCTTTAGACCACTGAGTCATCTCCCCAGCCCTGAGCCACACTTTTGTTTTCCACAACCCCACGAGTGAGGTAGTATAATTAGGATCCCTAATTCACTACGAAGGGAAGTGAAGCAGCCCAAGTTGGGACTTGCCCAAGACTCCCCTGCCCCCATCTAAGCCCCTAGTCCCAGAGCTCTGGAAAGGATGGAGTGGGGATGGGGCCCTTGGCTTCTTGGTTGGCCACAGGACCCGCAGAGCTGTCATTTCTTTTCCCTCACAGACCTGGCTGGGCAGCTGCCTCTGGGGCCCCACCTCCAGGACCTCTTCACTGGTCGCCGATTCTCCCGGCCTGTGCGCCAGGGCTCCGTGGAGCCTGAGAGCGACTGCTCGCAGACCGTGTCCCCAGACACCCTGTGCTCTAGCCTGTGCAGCCTGGAGGATGGGTTGCTGGGCTCCCCAGCCCGGCTGACCTCCCAGCTGCTGGGTGACGAGCTGCTCCTCGCCAAACTGCCCCCCAGCCGGGAAAGTGCCTTCCGCAGCCTGGGTCCTCTGGAGGCCCAGGACTCGCTCTACAGCTCGCCCCTCACGGAGGCCTGTCTTTCCCCTGCCGAGGAGGAGCTGGACCCTTGCAAGGACTGCCAGCCGCCCTGCCCTCCTCCTGGGGGCAGCTGGGAACGGCAGCGGCAAGCCTCTGACGTGGCCTCTTCTGGGGTGGTATCCTTAGACGAGGATGAGGTGGAGCCTGAGGAACAGTGACCCACATCCTGCCTGTTAATGGCCTGCGCCCCCTGGCCACCACTGGGGGCCAAGCCTGTGTGCCCAGATGTGGGCTCAGGGCGCTTAGCCAGCTCCACAGCTAGAGGGCTCCTGGGAGCACTCACTTCTCCATTGTGTGTTTTGCATGAAAGTGTTTGGAGAGGAGGCAGAGGCCGGGCTGGGGGCGCATGTCCTGCCCCCACGCCTAGGGCTTGCCGGGGTGTGCCCGGGGCCCCTGGGGCATGGCTACAGCTGTGGCACAGTGATGTTCATGTTCTTCAGTCCAAAACTTGCCACATTTCCTCCTCAGATGACGTGAACCCCTGAGGGGTCGTCGTGTCTGGGCTGGGGGGTGAAGTAGGCGGGATCTGTCCGCCTCCTCCCCTCCCCATGCCTCTCTGCTTCTGTCCTGACCTCTGAGTCCATGTGCAGTGCTTGATAGAACCACCTCCCGCTGGGGGGCTGGCTCCTGCCTGCCCGGAGCCCACTGATCGAGCCGTCCCCTACGGGCCCCTGCCCTGCGGGGCTCGTGCTGTGCTTCACTTCATTGTCTCTAAATCTTTTTTCCCAAAGACAGAGGGTTTCTGGTCTGTTCTTTTAGTTGGATCTTCTGTAGGAGGCACTGGGAGGATGAATGTATTTCCTGGCTTCTCCAGGGCTAGGCTGCAAGGTGGAGCCTTGGGTTTCTTCTGAGGTGTGGCTTCGATGTTCTTCTGGAGAGGGCCACAAGGGGGCCACCGGATGGCTGGGAAGTTGTCAGCTGACGCCTGTGCCAGGCCAGAATTGTGCCACTGAGTGACAGTCATGAGGGAGGAAGGAGGGTAGTGTCTTTGTTGGCTGTGGTTACAGTAGTGTTAATGACCAGGCAGTGGTGGCCTATGGCGTTGTGCATTTTGAGGACACTGGACTCTCATTGGCATGGCTGTGGGTGGGATAGGCAGTGGCAGGTAAGCGGACCCAAGGTAAGAACGAGAGTCGGTGGGCACAAGCATTGTATATATAAGTGGCTCATTAGGTGTTTATTTTGTTCTATTTAAGAATTTGTTTTATTAAATTAATATAAAAATCTTTGTAAATCTCTATATACATCTGTTCATTGGCGGTTCCAGTATAAATCCATCTTCGTTCTATTCCTTTCCCCCTCAAAGGGGAGCAGGGGCTACCTGACCTTGCCCCCGTCTCATCTCACTTAGGGCTTGGAAAACTTTCTGCCCTTGGAAAGCTGGGGGGTGGGAGGAGGCTGGCAGGTTTGGACTCCAGGCAGAATGGACTGGGAGCAGCCAGCACCCCAGGCGTGGTCAGAGGGCTGGGCTCTGGCCTCTGGCTGTAGCTGCTTCCTGCTTTTCAGAGGCAGAAACAAGGTGGTGGCCACCCAGGGGGTGTCACTGGCACTTATCGTCACTGTCAGAAGGGCTGCCGTCTCGGGGGAGCCCGTGGCAGGAGCGGGGCCCCCAGAGTGCGTGCACCTCTGTGGTCTCTGTGTCACTGCTGCTGGTGGCACTGTCTCGGAAGCTGGCGAGGGGCGGCCGGACTTTCACCCCCTGGGCTGTGACAGAGCCCTCAATAGCCTTCCGGAGCTGGAAAGACAAAGGGGTCAGATACCTCCACTCGGAGCTCCCTGCCACCCTTCTTTCCCCAGGGGGACAGGACATAAGCTTCCCCACATTTCTGGATGCAGAAATGGTAGCTACTGGGATCTTACCTCCTTTAGGGTAACAATTCCAATGAGCCTGCCAATGCTGGTGACGTAAGCATGGTCCACTCCCAGGAGTGAGAAGATGGTGTGAGTCTGTAGGGTGTAGAGGAAACAGTGGGCTTGATTCGTGGGGACAGCCCCAAGTCACAGCCATGGAGCCTAGGACAAGGTGGGGGCGGGGCAGAGTGGGTGGCACAGGTCGCTGAGGGGGGAGGACTGTACTGCTGGGAGGAAAATTATAGAAGGTAGCTGTGCCCCTAAGCTTGGGAACTTAGCAGAAGTCCTTGTGTTGCCTGTGCTGGGGGTCACCCTCATTCTCCTGTTTTTCTTTGAAGCCTCCTGCAAGCTTCTGAACCAAGGGTTCAAAAATGGTCAGACAACTCCTCTTGTGCGTAAGTGGATTTTCTTAGACCAGATGTCTTGAAAATGGCTCTCCTGACTCAGCAGTTCCTGTAATTCGGGCCTCAAGTTTATCTCACTGTGCCCGGTTTACTTGTAAGCCTCCTGGCTTAGGTTGAATCAAGATGGGCAGTAATAACCAGCGTCTTGAGTTCTGATTGCTCAGAGCTCATTTAAATTGACGTAACACTTTTTTTTGGCAGTAGTGAGGACTGAACCCAGTGAGAGCTACTTCCTCAGTGCCCGCCCAAGGATTGAAATCCCTGGCCCCTCCTTTTTTTTGTTTTGAGACAGGGTCTCAGTTGCCCAGGCTGGCTTCAAACTTGAGATTCACATCCCTTAGCCACCCAAGTAGCTGGGCTTAGAGGCTGTGCTACCACGCTCTGCTGTGCTCTTTTTTTTCTTTTTTGAGGCTGGGTCTTGCCATAGTCCAGACTGGCCTTGAACTCACTGTGTTCACTCTGGCTACTGAGTGGAGGATCTGGCCTATAATTTATGCAGATCCTCCTGCCTCAGCCTTGTGAGTGCTGGGATTACGGGTAGGCACCACTACACCTGGGCTTTGCCTTTATCTTCTTATGGCCAAATAATCCATCTCATCATCACCCAAGAAGCCTATTAAGTAGGCTCTTTCCATTTTCCTTTAAGTCCTCATGCAGGTGAGCACCTTCCAGGTGACATGCCTTTTAGGTTTGCAACCACATGTCCGTGGCAGTTAGTGCGGCTCATTGGTGGACTTCTCAGTGTCCCGGCTGTTCTCCTGACTCGGCCTTCCTACCCTTGTCACCAGGACAGGGCTGCGACAACAGAATGGAGTATCCTGCTTTCTGCCTCTCTCCACAGCAGCTTGGCCTGGCCTTCCTATGTGTTCTAAATGTAAGCTGTGCCCAGGCTCCCTGGAATGGCCCTGGACCCTTCCTAAGGCTCCCCAGCCTGGCCTTTCAGCCTCAGATTTAGCATTGTACCTCAGCTTTCAGACTCACTGAATCATCTCTTCCTGAAAATACCCATTGCTTCCACAGCCTTGCCCTCTACGTCACCTTTTATAAAGGCCCCACTGGGGGCTGGAGAGATGGCTCAGTGGTCTAAAGCACCTACTTGGAACAAGCTTGACAAAGCACAGGGACCACGGTTTGATCCCCAGCACCACATGCCAGCCAGCTCCGCCCCCTGGTGGGCTGAGCTGGCCATACACACACACACACACACACACACACACACACACACACACACTAAATAAATAAATGTTAAAAAATAAAAAAAATAAAGGCCCCACGGTTTGTGGCCCCGTCTAGGCGGCAGTAGGAATCTCTGACATGGATTTGACCCTTACTTTGGGCTAGGCTTACTGTGTTTTCCATGTCCTAACTCTTGGTTTTTAGGTGATCCAGAGAGATATAACCCACGTATTGAAGGAAGCACAAAGAAGCTAAGAATTCGTCCAGGTTACACAGCTAGCTCTCGGCAGGTGGAGTGAGGCCTGGGCTTGGCCAGTCCAGTCCTCCACCGGTGGCCCCAACAAGTGAGGGCCCTGGCAGCCCCGGAGCAGCAGCTGCAGGGGTCCTGAGAGTCTCCACTGTGTTCTCTCCTCTCCCCTCACGTTATTCCCCTGCTGCTCTTAACTGGGCTACTACTTACCCCTCTCTCAGGCCTGCCAGGACATTTTGAATTCTGATCTTTTATGTTATCATTCCAGTTCTTTGTACTTTTGTGAATCAGTTGCTCAAAGGCTGCTTCTCTTCCTCTGATTTTTAAGTTTGTAACAAACACCTACTTTGTTCTTTTTCATTGTAATTTAATTAGACACCAGGAAGCCCATTGGAGGGCCTAAATTTCTTGGGTTTGGGAACAGTGAACCAAGAGCAAAGGGACAGCATGGCCTTCAGAAAGAATCCTAGGAGCAGAGCCAGATCTGGGTTCTGGGCCTGCCTGCACAAAACTGACTCAGGCAAGGGAGCTCCTCGCTGTGTGCCTCGGTTTTCTTAGGTGCTAAGATGGCTAAGACCACAGGTTTTTGAGTCAGTGGGCTGGCCCAGTTCTGCTTCTCCCTGGCTGTGTGACCTTAAGAAACTTGCGTAACTTCTCTGATGGAATGCCACAATATCTACGTATAGGGTGGTGGTAAGGTTTAAATTTTTTTTTTTTAATTTTATTTATTTATTTGTGTGTGTGTGTGTGTGTGTGTGTGTGTGTGTGTGTGTCCAGCTCAGCCCACCAGGGTACGTGGCTGGCTGGCACCTGGTGCTGGGGGTTGAACCACAGTCCCTGTGCTTTGCTTAGCTTGTTCTAAGTAGGTGCTTTAGACCACTGAGCCATCTCACCAGCCCTGTAAGGTTTAAATTTCATGTGAAGAGATTAGCACAGTGCCTGGCACAGAGCAAGCACTTGAAAATCTCATTACTGTCATCATTTTGAATTCTGAGGATGAACGTGATCGATCACCGTGGAAATGCTTTAGAAGTTTTAGGAAGAAAGCCTTTGGATAAAACCTAGTTTAAAAAAATTTATGTATTTTGTACAGGGTCTTACTATGCAGCTCTGACTCACAGTGATCCTCCTGTCTCAGCCTCCTCAGCGTTGGGATTACAGACGTGCACCACCACGCCTGCTGGTGGCAGCTCAGTGCACCCAGGGGCAAGGCTGGCTCTGAATGTTGTACCGGGGACAAACCCAGTCCCTGTGCTTGCCTAAGCAGGCACTTAGTCTGCTGAGGTATCTCACTGGCCTGGATACAGTCTAATTTACTGCCCTTGTCCTATCTGCTTTTTCTTGCAACTTTGCTGCAAGAACACTTTGGTTTGTTTTTCTCTTTGATGATACCAAGGACTGGACCCAGGAAGTGCTGAGCTATATCTCCAGCCCTTTCCTTTCTTATGTTTTTGAGACAGGGTCTCGCTATATAGCTCTGTCTGGTCTCAGACTCCAAGTAACCCTCCTGCCTCAGCCTTCAGATTGCCAGCATACCTGGCCTCAAACTTGTGTTTCTCCTGCCTCAGCCTCCAGAGTCATCCAGGATCTAAGGGGTTTACCTAAAGGTTAGCATGCTCCTTTACTGCAGTTTGCTCTTGTGGTTCTCTTCTGCTCTAAAGTGGGCTTGTGATGCCATGCTGGGTCTTAGGGACGGCCACCTGAGTTGTAGGCCTTGGGAATAGACATCCCTCACTGTCCCCTCTTCTCCATGTCCCTTGCCCCCCTCAAAAGGCTTGCACTTTAAACCTGTCAAAAACTTAGCTAAGGGCTGGGGACATTGCTCAGTGGTGGAGGCCTGGGTTTGCTTCCTGGGGTGGGGGCTAAACTTCCCCTTGCCTTTGCTGAGTGGACCTGTATCCCCTGCCCTCACTCACCCTGACACCAGGTGCCTGCCAGTGCCAGCTCTTCTGTCACGGGAGCCTCAGAAACTGCTCCCTAGAGAGCCTGCCTTCCTCTGGCGCCTGCCTCACCCACCAGTGACCTGTCTGCAGCCGGTTCGCCTTTCTGCTGAGCTATCTTCCTGAATGCTCCCCAGCTTTCCTCTGGCCCACATTCAGTCAGACTTTCTGGGGTCTGACATTCCAAGCCCCCCACAGGGTGTTTCTCATCTTTGTTTATCTCTTCTCTGCAGTCTCCTCCCCCCTACTTGGCTGTTTGTTAGCTTGTTTATTAGATTTTCTTATCCTGCCCAATTCTCACCCGGTTCCTTCAGCGTGGGTGTATCAGCCTTGTTGGGCTCTGGCAGCCTCCTGCCTAGCTCTGACCCTGTCTTGGCCTTCTGGCTTTGGCCCAGTTCAAGCCCTGCCTTTGTTGCTGCTTCGGTCCACAGTTCCCTGGGGACGAGGCTGAGCTGAGCAAAACTGATGCCTGGCTCTCCCACCAGGGAACAGGACAAGGCTGAGGGGTGCTAGCTCCCAGCCCCCCATCATCCAAAGCGGACTCTTTGGAAAACATCTTCCCACAGAGCCTGCTCTCATACCCTCCTGACTAGCCTGACTCCAAA